CACTCTCATTATAATCAGTGAAGCTATGTACACTGTATGATGAATAAATCTTTTACCCCTTATTTACACTGCACACGTCTGCGGTGCGTTACTGCTCTATGGGGGGTAGAATCGTTGCATAATTCCAAATAAATAATTATGATCCACAAATAAGTGTAAAGAGATTAACAAAAAATAAATGTATTGATAAACAAATAAATCTTAGAGTTTCACAAACAAGAATTAAATTCACACAAAAAATAAAATGAGATTTGCAAATAAAAAACATATTCACAGATATAGTTTTATGTCACAAACACAACTTTGCCTGGCATTCATTTGTGGATAGCTCCCTGTGCATTTGTAAATCGTTGCGCCTATTTGTGGATTTTGAGACATTTCAAGCGTCAAGAGGCAAACCAATCCACAAATGGATGGACTCCACCCCCCTTCTACTTAAGCCAATCAGATACCGGTCACGTGGCGCCGACCAATCGTAGCGAATAAATACAATTAAAAATCAAGAAAGGCCATTTTACCTCTCTGAATGCATTCACGAAGAAATGTAGTTTGATGAGTGACAACCTCAAGGCACAAGCTGTCATCATCATCATCATCATCATCATCAGAATCTGCAACAGGCCATGCAATGTGCTGAAGGATAACCTAAAATCAAAGAGTAACAAATCACCAAATCATTTACCGTTCTGCCAGTTTTTACCTTTGAAATTATAACAGTGATTAAGAATTAAAGTTAAGCATTGACTTAGTATTATGCGGACGTCTTTTTGGTGGGAGCTGTTGCCTAATGCGGTTTACATCGCGCATAGACATTCACGTAGACAGCGTCGCCTATTGTTAATATCATCTTTTAATAATGTATTAATTTCTATAATATAATAATTTCTTAATACAGGTCCCCTCGCCATCACCACAAATATGAGCATAGCAACAACCATGTTAAATTTTTGTTATGTTAATTTAACACGACTTACCGGTCTTAAACTGTCCTGATCGTCCATTTTGAAGCGGTTAATTAGCCAGAATAGCGTGTTTGGTGCCTGGTCCCACACTGATTGTAAGGCAAAACGTGATTGGTTGGAGCGAGAACACGCTACGATTGGTCGGCGCCACGTGACCGGTATCTGATTGGCTTAAGTAGAAGGGGGGTGGAGTCCATCCATTTGTGGATTGGTTTGCCTCTTGACGCTTGAAATGTCTCAAAATCCACAAATAAGCGCAACGATTTACAAATGCACAGGGAGCTATCCACAAATGCATGCAGCGATCTACAAATGCACAGGACGCGATTCACAAATGAATGCCAGGCAAAGTTGTGTTTGTGACATAAAAATATATCTGTGAATATGTTTTTTATTTGCAAATCTCATTTTATTTTTTGTGTGAATTTAATTCTTGTTTGTGAAACTCTAAGATTTATTTGTGGATCTCATTCTATTTATTTATCAATACATTTTATTTTTGTTAATCTCTTTACATTTATTTGTGGATCATAATGTATTTATTTGGAATTATGCAACGATTCTACCCCCATACTTTTTGTACATTTTAACATGTGGAGTCTATGGGACTGACTCCCTTTTGCAGCCAGCCTCTAGCGGCCAGTCGATGAATTGCAGTTTAAGTCACTTCCGTGTTGGTTTCATGAGAGAGAGCGGGAGGTTGCCGCTTGGTAATAACGAGACGTTACGTCGTTAAAATTACATATTTTTCTCATTAAAACGACATCTTTTCTCGTAATAATGAGATCTTTTCTCGTAATAACAAGATGTTATGTTGTTAAAATGACATTTTTCACATTAAAATTACATCATTTCTCGTAATAATGAGTTGTCATTAAAACAACATCTTTTTTTCTCATTAAAACGACATATTGTTCTGCACGCTGCTGAAGTTACTGCAGGAAGGATAAGAGAAATACACTGATTTAAATGTATTTAAATGTTACTGTTTTTATTGTAGCAGCATGTTTATTAGGATTAATCTGTCTACAATATAATGCTATCCAGTAATTGCACTCAGACCCAGAGGATATAACTCATTTAAAATGATCAGATCAAACCAGTTATTTTTGAATAATTGATCCTGGGCTTGGAATATTTCTTGATTTGAATGACTTAAGTTTGATTTAACACCAAATAGAAATAAGAGCAAAAAGAAATGAGAAATGGCAAACGGCTTATTTCATTATCATTATTATTAGCCTATTATTATCATTCTTTCATTCTGTTTCATTCTGTAATTAAGGAAAATTAAGCTGTGTACATACAATTTTGTATTTTTTGTTTGTGGGTAAAAAAGAGCTTTAATATTTGTTTCACACACACAAGTTTTTTTTTTATGAGATCATTATGTAGTTTTAACGACATATCTTGTTGTTATTATGATAAAATATGTCGTTTTAATGAGAAAAGGTTTCATTAAAACGACTATCTTGTTATTACGATTATACAGAAGGCTGTCCCTTTGGTGGAAAGATTTAGGAAAATTCATTTTTCTGGAGTGAAACTGGTTATATAACATTTTTCAGACTGCCTTTTTTCATGATCTAACTCAGGGGTGGCGAACGTCAGTCCTGGAGAGCCGCAGCCCTGCAGAGTTTTGCTTCAACCCTAATCAAACACACCTGAACAAGCTAATCAAGGTCTGAAGGGTTACGAGGAAGCTACAGGCAGGTGAGTTTTAATTAGGGTTGGAGCTGAACTCTGCAGGGCTGCGGCTCTCCAGGACCGGAGTTCGCCACCCCAGATCTAACTTGTTTTGTGCTGCTGCACTGTAAAAACTAAAGGTTCCTGGAGGCACCTTTTGGGTTTCTTCACATTGCCACACCAACGGAACCCTCTGTGGAACCTATAGGCACCCTTTCAAAAGGGGCGGTTCTCTGAGGAACCTTAAAGATTCCTGGAGGAACCCTTTTATTAAGAATGGTGGTAATGTAAAAAAATGGTGGCGATATTAAAAATCAAATTTTTTTATTCCATGGTAGACACAGACTTCCAACGAGGATTGCTCATGACATCCCAGATCATACCAGCAAGTCAAGGATTTGTGATGTTGCTCATTTATTCTACATACAAAATGCAAGTGACAGAAATGAATCTCTTGAATTACTATGTGTATGTAATATAGGAGTCACTCCTGAACATGCAATGCAGCTCAAAGCAAGAAACATGACACACTGTAAACATGAATGCGGTCATCACTCCTGTAAATAACTGAACTCTGTGTACAAATGAAATAGTAGTGTCAGGCGGATTGAGCTGCGGTGTGAACACGCGTCTGATGTGATTCATGAGCAGCAGGAGCTGAACTGAACGTGCCACGTTCTTTGCTGCAGTATTTCAGTGCCTGCAGTCAGCCTGAGAGATGATTGACCATCAGACGTGTCAAGGATCCTGCGGTCTGAACGCATGTGTGTTTGGTCTCATGAGTGCTCGCATGTGCAAACATTTACTCTGTCATTGCTCAGGTACATGTGACCATACGAACATGCGTGTGCTGCAGCGCGTGTCTGGAAACAGCAATCTCAGCCACTTTGAATTTGGAATTTGCCAATGCTCTTTAAAGAATAGTTCCCCCCAAAATGAAAATTCCCTGAAAATGTGCTCACCCTCAGGCCATCAAATCAGGATGAGTGTGTTTCTTCATCAGGTTTGTAGAAATGTAGCGGCTGCGGCTCTCCAGGACCGGAGTTCGCCACCCCAGATCTAACTTGTTTTGTGCTGCTGCACTGTAAAAACTAAAGGTTCCTGGAGGCACCTTTTGGGTTTCTTCACATTGCCACACCAACGGAACCCTCTGTGGAACCTATAGGCACCCTTTCAAAAGGGGCGGTTCTCTGAGGAACCTTAAAGATTCCTGGAGGAACCCTTTTATTAAGAATGGTGGTAATGTAAAAAAATGGTGGCGATATTAAAAATCAAATTTTTTTATTCCATGGTAGACACAGACTTCCAACGAGGATTGCTCATGACATCCCAGATCATACCAGCAAGTCAAGGATTTGTGATGTTGCTCATTTATTCTACATACAAAATGCAAGTGACAGAAATGAATCTCTTGAATTACTATGTGTATGTAATATAGGAGTCACTCCTGAACATGCAATGCAGCTCAAAGCAAGAAACATGACACACTGTAAACATGAATGCGGTCATCACTCCTGTAAATAACTGAACTCTGTGTACAAATGAAATAGTAGTGTCAGGCGGATTGAGCTGCGGTGTGAACACGCGTCTGATGTGATTCATGAGCAGCAGGAGCTGAACTGAACGTGCCACGTTCTTTGCTGCAGTATTTCAGTGCCTGCAGTCAGCCTGAGAGATGATTGACCATCAGACGTGTCAAGGATCCTGCGGTCTGAACGCATGTGTGTTTGGTCTCATGAGTGCTCGCATGTGCAAACATTTACTCTGTCATTGCTCAGGTACATGTGACCATACGAACATGCGTGTGCTGCAGCGCGTGTCTGGAAACAGCAATCTCAGCCACTTTGAATTTGGAATTTGCCAATGCTCTTTAAAGAATAGTTCCCCCCAAAATGAAAATTCCCTGAAAATGTGCTCACCCTCAGGCCATCAAATCAGGATGAGTGTGTTTCTTCATCAGGTTTGTAGAAATGTAGCACTGCATCAGTGTCTCAGCAATGGATGCTCTGCAGTGAATGGGTGCCGTCAGAATGAGAGTCCAAACAGCTGATAAAAACATCACAATAATCCCAGCTTTTGTCTTCTCCAGATGTTAACTGATGGACTGGAGTGCTGTGGATTACTGTGATGTTTTTATCAGCTGTTTGGACGCTCATTCTGACGGCACCCATTCACTGCTTATGCGAGTTTGTTTATGTTTAAGCTCACTTGTATGAAAACCCCACAGAAGCCTCATAACGAAGCTCTCAGTACTGACTCGATGTGTTCAGCAAACTCAAAAGGATCATAAAGTATGCGTTTGTGTATCCATATGAAAATAAATAGTTCAGACACGAAACAGAGAGAGGCACTTAATATAATAAACATTTAATATAAAGAAAATGTCAAGAACAGTGTTTATTCACATTCGTAAATAACATTTTGCTTGCTGTTAATCAAATCATCGGAAATAGAAGCAATTACAGAGCGACGGCTTCATTCGAGGAGCGTCACGTTTGAGGATCTTCCACTCTGCGGAAAACTGCTAAGAAATTCTTGCCTCCGTTTCTCTGAACCTTCTTTCCCTCCTCCGTACATGTTCCCAGATGGCTAATGATGAGGTCATCAGCCTGCGACGCAATCAGCCCAAATGTCACGTTAACCAACCCGACACACACAAATACAATCACAGCCATAACCTTGTGCTTTAATACGATTACTGTGCCTAATAAACGAGGTCTTGGGTCTTAAGTCATTAAAAGACAAACTGTCAGAGGTAAACGTACCAGTTCTTCATCAGACACTCTGCAGAAGAGAGGATGATCGCTGAAGTGTTTGACGATCCAGTCGTGAACCTCCTCAACATCAGTGTTTGTGTACACTAAACCCTGCACAGCAACACCAAGATGAACAGAAAACACATTGAATGACTGGCCACCACACGTTCATTCACTGAAAGTTTTAATGGGGTCATCAGATGTTGATATGATTCTTCAGTGCCTTAATGAAAAGTCTATAACATACTTTGGTTAAAATTTCTCAATGGTAGTGTAAAACAACACCCTTTTTACCCTGTCGAAATCAGCTGTTTTCAGCAACCCGTTTTGTTTCTTTAAATGCTAATGAGCTCTGCTGACCCCGCCCCTCTCTTCCGTGGGGTGATGAGCCGTTCTCATGAGACTGTTTACTTTAGCCGCGGAACTTGCTAACTAGCATGTTATTAAGAAAGGTGATTTGCAAAGATGCATAAAAACCCCTTATACTCACTTCTTCTGTAGGTGAAGCTGGATCACAAATGATTTGCGCAAACAGACACATTGATGTAGATTGGGTGCGCATTCCCTTCAAAAACAAACGTAATCCACTGTGTCTTCAGCGGCTCAGATGTCGGGAGTAAATGACGACTGCTGTTCATTATTACATCCAACAACCGAACACCTCAATCTCTTAGGAGCCATTCTGCTCCGGAGTCTAAACAATGGCGGACTGATGACAGCTCACTCAGGGCGGAGCTGTGATTAAACACCAGTGTCAATCAACAATCGTGGGAGGGGCCTGGGTCTGTGTGACGTCACACAGCCAAGAATCTGAAATCGGCTTGATTTGAAAAAGGGGATATTATTTATAGAGATTAAAAAAATACCACTGGGTGGATCTTTAACATTGTAGGGTGGTTGTGTACACACACTGCAAACACACATTTATGTTCAAACAATATGTAAAAGTGCATGTAGCATCTGATGACCCCTTTAAATGAGAATTAATTTCCCTGCAGTGCAACAGAGCCGGTTCAGGACGTGCACACGACACACACCTCCGCCTCGCTTCATCTCAACTATTGATTTGACTCTTGCCCAGCACATTTTACATGAAAATCAATGCCGCGGTCTTGCCTTAAATACTTTGAACCGTAACAGATTTTCCTGACAGAGGGAGTCAAAATAGCAGCACAGCAAACATGGGATCTTATCGGCCGTGTCATTGGCGTTTACTCTGTAGACAGCGCAGACAGAATAATCAGAAGATAAGATTCTGGGAAGTAACAGGTATTCAGCAGCCCGTTCGTTCTTACCAGCAATGGAAAACTTTATATGACGTTAATTAAGCCTCCATTCACTCAACATACTCATCTTACCTCATCTTACCTTTGTCCTCACCGCTTCCATCTTCACTGTGGAAAAAATCTCCATATACATTGCTGAAGTGGCTCTTCTGTCTTTCTCTGAGCTCTCCAGACGTCTGCTCCCCCCCAGCGGGGCACAGCACTCAGACTGTATTAATAACCCACCTTCACAAAACACAAGCCTGGCATTGTTCTGTTCTCATCGACCTCCCCCAGCGCCGTCACACACACACACACACACACACACACACACACACACACCTACCTTCACACAGATGTGCACACACACGAGAGGCCATATAGAGATATAAAATATGACAAGACTGATACGTTTCCTCTCATTCCATATGTATAACACTAAGGTAAAGCAAATAAATAAAAATGGATGCTCTGCATGGCCTCACAAAGAGCATTTACACATTAAAGGACTGAAAGCTATACTGCTCTGACTGTGGGGAGGGAAGTGCTTTCAGGTCAATGCTGCGGGTTAATTAAGGATTTAAACCGGTGCAAAATGTGCTGGCAATTAAAGCCTTGTGCTCAACATCGTGCATTCATTTGCTTTAAATGGCTCATTAAAGAAGAAAGTGTTCTTACCCCGACTCTGAGCGTGTACGCATACTCCGCCAGTAACGTAGGGCTAATAATGCGCCACTTGTGTTTGGTTTTCTTAAAGTGTGGATCCGGAAAGAGAAAGAACATCTTGCTGAGCTGCAAACGACAGAGAAGAGTTATTTGTGGTTTGTGGAACTGTACAGCTCTTTGAGTCACAGCGTGAACCAATGTGAGGGAAGACAGTTGCTCAATTCAGAACTGCATACTATTCTGACAATATCTTGGTAGCACTTTGTTTTACAGTCCTGTTCCACATCTACATACTAAACAATTGTTATAGATATTACAATAACTTGGTAATAACTAGGTACTAACCTGAACCTGTACCCAAACCTAACCTTACCTCATGTTATCTTGTTACCCGGTACTTTCTTAGATAAGCACACTAGGTACAAGTAAGTGCACATACTATAAAATAGAGCACAACCCATAACTTTCTAATGGCAGGAATAGTAAGAGTATACAAAAAAATATATATATTTGTAAACTTTACTACCAATTTCTGAGTGAAAACTTTACAAATACTTACAAGGTTTAACACTGGTTGATTTATTGATTGATTTTTTGTATACAGTCACTAGGACCCATTTCTTAATACTTATGTCACTTTTTCAAAACTTCAGAGTGAGCACAACAGCAGTCTATGCGGGCTAAACTGTGAATCACTTATTGCTTTGGCACAAAATGCATTCAATAAAAACATCTTTCAAAACACATTAACTTTTTTCTTGTTTTCTCACTTAGACATAACGCCAAAACTCAATGCACCAACAGGCCTTTTCAAAACTAAAATAACGAAATAAGTGAAATAAAAAGCGCCCATCCATTAAAAAAAAAGTGTCTCACACAGCTCCGGGGGGTGAACAAAGGCCTCCTGTAGCAAATCGATGCATTTTTGTAAGAAAAATATCCATATTCAAAACATAATAATCACTTTAATCTAGCTTGCGCTCACTGTTGCTTTTTATTTCACTTCTTTTGGACTGATGCACGCAACACCCGCTGAGTGGCATTAAACAGCTTGAAAGATCAAAGACAATTTTTTATATAATTCCGACTGGATTCGTCTGAAAGAAGAAAGTCATATACACCTAGGATGGCTTTAGGGTGAGTAATTTATGGGCTAATTTTAATTTTTGGGTGAACTAACCCTTTAAGTTTATTTTAAATCCATAAAGAAAATGAAATTAAGTATTGCACTCTTATACATTGCATTACGGTATCAGCCAAATTACCTATTGTTCTATTTGAAGGTATTATGGTATGGGAGTGATGACGTATGTTGTTACGTGTTTTACGTCACTACGTTTTGTACTACTAGGCTAAAGCAGAAGTGATGAATAAACAGAGTATGCTGAAAAAGTAAAAACCTTGAGCAACGTTTTGTCTTCGTATCCGATTGATGGTGAACTGCGTACTCTAGCTCAACAGGTTATGGGCCCAGTCACGGAAGCAAGCGGGCGTTTTGAGCAAGTTATACGCGACGTATTACGCGTTATTCAGTAAAGTTATAGGCCTTGTTTAAAAGAAGCGAAAAGACGGCGACTCTACAAAATGGCAAGCAGAGCGACAGGATTCCAGGTACCGCAGCTTTTGTTTGATGGATCCGAAGATAAATATGACCTTTGGG